GAATGCCCACCATTTGGTCTCTTCTGATTTAACATTTCCTTTTAACTTACAGTTTTACTTCACAGTTTTCCATTAGTCTTCTTACGGGAAATGTGTTTCTTCCCTGCCTGTTCCAATATGGCATTATAGGTCTCTGAAAATTACCTCTGCCTACATAACATTCTCTGTAACAATTCTCATTCTCCCTCCATTCATTCTGGGTTTCTAGCAAAATCCTTTCCAACAGGGACCACTTTCCCATCAATTAAAGCTGGATGGACCATTTTCCTTCTATCAACAGCTGTTTCTAGTAAGGAAAATTCATCCTGGAAGTGGATCCATCCTCTGTGCTATATGCCTTTTGGTAGGACATGGGCCAACCCTGTCTCAGGTTCTCTGTTCTGACAGTTTTTCTTCTCTTTCCTTCAGGAGAGGAAAGGCTGCCGGATCCCAGTTTTTATTCCACAATGCCTGTTCATAGGAGACACCAAATGGTTCACACTCATTGCTACTAAGGGACTGTAATAATGCCCAGACAAGAACCTATTACCTCTGTGGCTTTTACTCGGGAAATCGCCAGTAACAGGACTGGGCTTGGGTGGGGAATATCAGAGCAGACCAAGCAGCTGAAATTCAACTTTCAACACTTAGTGCTTTGCCCCATCCTGTCTGCTTAATAACCAGCGATCAGTTGATTGGTACCATTTTCCTTTCTAAGGAGAAATTATGTCTGATTCTTTTCCTGTTTGTAAAGTATTTGGTTCCTGGCTGATTCTCATCACAGTTTAGCTGCTCCTTTCAAACAGTAAATGTCTAGAGCACAGCTTTCATTAAGGGGCCCTGATGATGGGCAGACAACACCCCCTGAAGAAAAAAGTTGCAACAATAATCATAATAACAGTGATAGGAGCTTTTTGTTCTGGCCTATTTGGTGAGACATTATTGCTGTTTATATCTCAGGAATTTGTCAACAGACAGTAAATATTTTACGCAAAAATTCCTGTGAACCTACCATGAGGGAGACATTGTACTAAACTCTGAGATTATTACAGCTAACTAGAAGTTCAAGGTCCTCCAGTGGCAACAGACAAGAAACAAGTAAGTCAGGAATGTGACAAGCTCTAAAAGGCTTGTGTTCAAGGATGCTGGTGGTGGGAATTGAGAGGTCAGACAAGGCTTCCCAAAGGAGGCGTGCCTTCCACTTATTAACTGCAGATCATAACGTAAAGACTGTTCTCTTGAGTCTTCATTTTATCAGTTAAAAACAATAAAATGTCTCATTTTGTGATATATGTGAATATGAAATTATTGTGTTATATACCTCAAACTTGCTTATGTTATATGTAAATAATATCTCAGTAAACCTGTGGGGAAAAACTCAATAAATTAAGTCTCATATACTGCAAATTTAACTGTTCTCTACTGTATGCCAGGGATTATTCTAGGCATTTGGGGATTTATTTGATAATTAAACTGTGCAATCAATGAGGCAAAGAGAGTATCACTTTCTTTGGGCAAGAAAGGATCGTTAGGTGTTTCATTTGGTGTGAGTCCTGCAGAATCACCTAAATGAAATTTTGAACTGATAAGGAGAAAACTCTATATTACTAATATCTTATAGGCGACTAGGCTGAAGGTTTGGGTTATAGGTAAAGTTACCATGTGATTTAATGTTCAAACCAGAGCTCTTTGAGGAGTAAAAGGGTTACTATTAAAAATAATTATGCTGGGCTACATACCACAGGCATGACCTGGGCAGAAGTCCTTTTGGCCACACTTGCAATTTTTTAAGTCTTCCTCATCTGCTCCATGTGTGGCTGGAACTTCTTTTATATTCATTCGTGTCACAACAAGAAATATCTGAGAGAGAGAAAACACTGGACAAAGAGATAGCAGGTCTATTTTCTTCCCTTGACATCACCTATGTTAGAAGAGAATTGTCAGCTCACGTTAGGGGCTTTCTGTTTTAAAGTTACTCTCCATTCTCTGTTTAGAAACATGGAAATGTTGACGTTCCAGGCTAAGGCCTTGCAGTCATGTGGTCCAGTGCCCTGAAGCAACACAGAACTCTTGATCTCTTGGGTGTTTATCTCCTGACAGTAACTGTAAGTTCCTTGAGAACATGGCCAGTCTGATATTTATTTACTTCAAAATCAACTGTACCTTAGAGGACCCAGCACACAGTGTGTGCACGGGCAATGCTGGTTGAATTATGGAGGGAAGTATCATGATTCCCTGGGGATGATTTAGGAGGGTAGAGGGCTAGAGGTAGGGGTAACAGAGGGGGACAGACAGGGATGTTTCTGGGGTCCTCTCATGCCAAAACATGTCCTACTTCAAAAATGGTAGATGCAGTTACTCTTGCATAGCTGGGGCTGTCTTGCTCTGTCTGTGTGACCAGTTCCACTGTGTTCATAATCTAAAACAGGAGTCAGCAGGCTTTTTCAGTAAAGGTCCGGGTAGTAAATATTTTTGGTTTTGTAACCCATACAGTCTGTTGCAACTATTCACCTACTTGACTTTGCTATTGTACAACAAAAGCCAGAGACCACAGGTAAACAACTGAGCAGGGTTGTGTTCTGATAAACTTTATTTACATAGTTTGTCACTGGGCTGGATTTGATCCATGGGCTGTGGTCTGCTGGCCTCTGATCTAGGACGAAAAGGGACAGATCAGGTAATGACAACCTGGGGGTCGTTCTATCCCCCTCCTCCAAGTCTTGCCTTCATGAGGGCTACCTTGAAGACAAACCTTGGGCAAAATGCCAATGTAAATAAATAGAGATTTAAGTCTCTCTGCTCCAAAGAAGCATGCCAAGTCCTCTCTAATACTGAACCTGAGAATGGCTGTGTATTTTTATTGTTTCATCCTTCTGAGATTTTTGAATTGTGTCTCTCTCTTAGGCATGTTGCACCATAAGCTTTCACCGCGATTTTGATAGAAAGATTTTGTCTGTGATAAGAACTTGCACTTCAGGGGAATACGTCTCGGCTAAAGCGGTGGTGCAGGGGGATGCGTGTGGACACTTGCCATCGTATCCAGAGCAGCAGGAGGAAGGTGATGGAAAGGAGGAGGGCATGAACGTCCACTGAAGGCTTACCAAGTGCTAGGAGCTTTACCCTGGTAGCACATAAACTCTTTGATCTAAAACACGGGGCAAAAGAAACACTATATTTCAGGATTTTCTTTGAATCAATTGAAATTAGATTTCCAACCTCCATCCTACCTGCTTGGTAGAGAAATTCATTCGCAGTCACGACTGTGGCTATCCTGTGTAATAAAAGATGCCTCTAGCTCTCTGTCTTAAGTTACACTGGAGACCTCCAATTCGTGCAGCTCTGGCTTCTTGGCAGTATACCTGGAGCCCAGAAGTGTGTGGATGGGCTGAGATCCTTTCTGTCTTTTGTCCAGACCTTCTGAGGTCTTACTGCCTTTTCAGGACACCGCCGCACAAAAGTCCATGATTAATTTCTCTTTCATCTTCCGGCCCCCAGTTCTCTCTGCATTCTGTGCTCCTCTCTCTCTCCTGTCCTAAAGTGGTATCTCTTCTGGGAATTTCAGCAGTGAGGAAGGACAGGGGTGTTCCTACTGGGATCTTCGTGCAGCAAAACAAAGGAGAACTCATTAAATTAAGGACGTCTAAAGACTGGATTGTGTGTGAGTGTGTGTGCGCGTGGGGGAGAGGAGATGCAGAGAGAAAGTACAAATTATCATCTCAAAAATTAATCTGCCACACATTTGTTGTTTTATGTAATTACCATCCCAGGAAGAAGAGGTAGATGAGAAACCTACTGTTTAGAGGGGTTAAGACACCTTCAGACACCTGGTTGCTTCCACTAGGCTACACTGCCTTCTCACTAATTCCTTGGACTCTTGCTAATGCAGCCTGGCTTCCCAAGGGGACTTTCCTTATTCTGTGTTTGAATAATCATAGCTCCTAGTGGCTTAGGCTGTCAGCAGCAAAGATCTCATCTTCCTCTACATCCAGATATAAACCTGGTCCCAGAGGTAATTCCTGGCAGCGAAAGCTGGCTGGTGTGGTCATGGATTGAACCAGAAGGGAAATACTCCAGTTCTTATATGAAATTCATCAGCTGTTAAGTGTCTCCAAATTTTCCTCTAATAGTCTCATTAGGGATCTGGAACCTGTCTTCAAAGAAGCAGCATCATTCACCACTGGCTTTTTGAGGGATTAGAGTATACATAGAGTAGGAATTGTAGCCAAGTGTGGTTACATTCTTAATTTTAAGAGAAAAGAAGTAAACTAAGCCCTAAGCCTGTTTTCCTAAGATAAGGGGAACTGTAAGAATTGGGTTTGTTTACTCGTATAGATATTTTTTTCTGTATGGATCCACATTCAATATTTACATTAACATAACAATTCCAAGCAAAGTGAAAACACATTTAAATTACATTTTCCACATATTCCAGGAAGAGGGTACCATATGCACTGAGGCATGAAAGTGAGAGAATGAACAGAATGTTCAGGATATATTTTGTCTGGTGTGGTTCTAGCTAAGGATTTGTAGATGTGGAGGTATAGTTGGAAAAGTAGATTGAAGCCAGATTTTGCAGGACTATAAATTTTAGTCCATGAATAGTGGAGAGTCATTGATGGAAAGGGAAGTGGCATGATGAGTTTTGTAAGTTACAGAAAAACCCCAATAATAATAATACATTTAATAAATAAAACCTCTCTAGTGAAAGTGTATAGATGGAGTAGAGCAGAAAACTAAACTAAAGAAGCTAGTTAGGAGAAGTGGCAGTAGTCCATATGAGAAAGGAAAAGAGTATAGTAGATACTTACTGCTCCCCACAAATTCCATGTGTCTCCATAGTTTCCAGCCTTTCTTGTAGTTCCATTAGATTGTGTGACTGGTTCTGGCCAATGGTCTGCCACTTCTTCTTGCCAATGGTTTCCTTCTGGCCAATGGTCTGACACACTTCTAAGATGTGTCACTTCCTGTGTAAGGCAGTAAAGAGCTAATCTGTCCTTCTTCTCTCTCATCTCTTTCAACAGAGATCACAGAATTATGTGTTGAGATGGCAGAGTCACAGGATGGAAGCAGGATGGATCTTGAACCACCACCTGGAGGACAGCCTCTTTGGAGATCATTCCACCTGTATCAGATCTGAGTGAGTCCATAACAATAAGCCTTCATTTTTTTTAAGCCACTAAGTCTTCCAAGTTTAACAGCTCTAGCAGGTAGTGTTAATTATCCTGATGAATACAAAGGATCTGGATCAAGACACAACAGCAGGAATTGGAAGGAGTAAAAATATTTTAAGAAATAAAAACTGCAGGAGACCAAGACTGGTGTTGGAAGTGAGACATAAGAATAAGAGAATCATGACCCTGAGCTGTTAGCTTGAGAGGATGGCAATGCCATTAACCAAGACAGATGTGGAGAAAGGAGGAGGTGTTGAGTTTGAATTGTCTAAAGAATATCCAAGAAGAAGTTTCCAGCTGGCAGTAGAGGATGTGTGTCTGGCATTTAAGAAATGTCTCACTGCTGGAGACAGGCTTGGGAACCATCCTCCTTGAGCAAGTAGAGTGAGAAAACAAGAAGGCCAAAAAAAAGGTTTGAGGGTAAAACACAAGACAAGAAAGATTATCCAAACAAGGAGATGAAGAGGGAAGGATGGAAAGAGAATCAGGTAGAGGCAGTGCCAAGGGAGGAGAGAATTTCAACAAGCTGGACAGCAGCACAATATACCATAAGTAATGTTTTCCACAGTCCTAAACTGGCTGGCTGATAGTAGCATTTGCTTTATAACTGATGTGAATCAATTGATTAAAATATTAAATACTAAGAGTATTTCTCTTTACTAAGAGTAAAGAGGAATGGGGTGTATAGTTATGGAAAACACAGTTATCTATTCTCTTTTTTCAAATATTTCACTCAGACATTACAAAAAAAGATTTCTTAGTTAGAGCTATGGTCTATGTGTGAGAAAAACATCAGAAACTGTCATCATAAGCATCATTATCAATAAACGTTGAAGCTACACATAATTTCAGAGTGGTTCTTGTTATCTAGGAACTTTTATTCTAGTCCCAGAAATAGATCTTACACATGAAGAATGGCCAAATTGAAACAAGTGTCGGGTGGAGAGTAAGTGCCAAAGAATGATTTAAGCAATAAATTGCTCCAGGGCTGGGGGCAGATGGAAGAAGCCTTCCCAGAAGAGAGAGTATTGGGCTTTAGTTTGAGAAGATAAAGGGAAACTGAAGACGAGGAGGAAGTAAAAGAAAGGGGATACACAGAGTAGGCAAAAACCCAGAGGAAGAAATGTATGTGGAATTTTCTGACCAGGTCCTCTGCATTGCACAACACCATGGACTAGTATTCACACTGGAATTGGTATCAATAGCGCACTCTGGGATTGTTCAACACAATGGTTCAGTCAATATCTATGTTAATACTAGACATAGACTGGAGATGAGCCAAGATAGCTTGGTTGAGGCCATGAATTAAAACACCTTGAATGTCAGTGTGAAGGCATTTATACTGAACATGAGGAACAATTAGAGATTTTTGAACAGAAGCATAAAGTGGCAAGACCTGCATTAGAAATATTCCTCCAGGGAGCAGTGCATAGGATGTCTTAGAAGGTCAAAACAATAGAGATGGGAAGGAGAACTAGAAAATTATTGCAAGTGCCCAGATTTTAGATGGTGAAATTTTTAGTCTATGGTTTTAATATTAGGCTTGGGAAGTAAGTAGGTCAATAGCCTATAGGATGACTAAGGTCAAAATTCAAAAACTTGAGTCAGCAGGTAGGGAAGTTCAAAGTTGGTCATCATTTATGTAGACATATGATTGATTTTGCTTTAGAAATGCTGATTTGGGAAACATAGGAAGTTTAGTAGGAGACATCTCGTTGGCAGATATATTGGAGCTATATTATTAAAATATGTGTGTGTTTGCTTGGGGTGTAGATGGAGTACAGGGGTTGAAAGGGATAACTCAAACAATGAAGATTCGGAAAGAGAAAAGCAGAGTGGAGGACTGTCCTGTTGAAACTGAGTCTCCCTAAAACTGAGTTCCTCTGCTCAATTTATGATTGATCTCCTTATCCAATATGTTATTGTTTTGCTTGTACAACACCTGTTCCCCTAAAGATTAGGGAATATCATAGAAAAGGGAGGATTGAAACTGAGCAGGACCCTGTGGGGCCCTCCTGGGCACAAAAACCTTTCTGTGTCCCCCATTTCTTGTTTGTAGGAAGAAGGTTTTAGCCTCTTGGACCTTCCCTGAGTTCCAAAGGGCAGATTCAAACAGTTACTAATTAAGGGAATGAGGGAATGCAGAAAGAAACAACAGTTTAGAGATGGGACAGGGTCCTCTTTCCTCCTGGGGAGGATGTACAGAACAACCTGATACATATCTCTGAGTTCTTCAACAGGAACTAAGGCCCCCCCACCCAGGTGGAGGATGGTAACTTCAGGCTGAGCACAAACCTAGGACCCCAGACTGGTTGGAACCATAAGCTGATGACTGAGATTCCTGGATGATTGAGATTCCCTGTTACCTCACCACCAACCAATCAGAGGAGGGTCACACACCCTGCAGACCACCCATGCCTCCCAATATAGCCTGTAAAAACTCTTCCCCAACATCCGTCGGGGAGTTCAGGTCTTTTGAGCACGAGCCACCCGTTCTCCTTGCTTGGCCCTTGTAATAAGCCTTACCCTGCTCCAAACGCTGACATTTTGGTTTGTTTGGCATCACTGTGCATGGGGCACATAAACTTGGGTTCTCCAAAGCTGTGGTGTTACTATGTTTGAAAGTTAGAGAAAGAAGTGTTGCTGTGAGAGGTGATTGCCCGAAGAGAAGAGCCAAAAGAGAAGGACACACGATAGGTAGACTTCAAGGGAAAGAGAGTTTTTGGAGGGGTAAGTGGTCACACTGCCCAAGGGCCAAAGAGATGTTCTCTTGAATTCTCTGATTTCCCCTCTCCTAGGAGCAGTTTCAGAACAGTGGCTGAGGTAGATGACAAAGAGTCAGGGCTGCCACGTCCTTCTTTCTGGAAGTGCCTTCTGGAGATGGGGAGAGGTGACCTTCAAGCCAGCTCCCTACAGAAAACTGCCCGCTCTGCTGTGAAGCAGTTAGACACAAAGTCCTTGGCTCAGAGCTTCCAGGGAGTGAGGCATATGGCAGCTCTGTCAACTGCAGCTGCAAACAGCTTCATCTTCAGTTTATTTCCAGGATCCAGAGGAGCTCAGGGATAGTTAACAGCTGTCTACCTGTAGGGACTCAAATGATCTCTAGGCCATCAAACCATCATGTACTGAATAGTGACTTAGCAATTTATCCCAATGCTTCCTGGGGGCCTGAAAGGACTATCAAAAGGCCTCCTTCATGTGCTCACTGAAGGGCTTTTGCTGGTTCAAAAGAAAGTGGAATAAATATGCCAGATTAATGAAAACCTTCCCCAAGCAAAATGACACTATAAAACGTGATTGCTGGTTGTTCTCTCTGAAAATAGATGCAATTATCTGATTTGGAGGTTTGTTTTTTTAACAACCTCCCAGGGAAATATTTGTCTTTTTTTTTGTTGTTGAAATCTATAGCCTTATCCACGGGGTTTAGAATGGAGAATATTAACCACCAGCTAGAGCCATTGCCAAGCCCAAGTCCTGCCAGGCTATTGTGGAGTTTTTATAAATATTTAAAGGCAGGCAACTAGTTATGGGAAGTACTTGACATGATGTACAAGATGTACATAATGGCCCTTCAGAGGGAACACGGTGTTAGGTCATTAGATGAAAAACATAGAGACAGCTTCATTCTTGAACCCACTCTTGAGTGGGAAGTATTCTGTCAGGAGCTGGATTGAAAGTCACCTCTCCCCATTCCCAGAAGTCATCTCCAAAAAGTACATGGCTGGCCTTGACCCTTTGCAATCCATCTCAGCTACTTGCCTGAAACTGCTCCAAGGATGGGAGTGGGGAGTGTTAGTTGGAGAATTCAGAACATCTTTTCCCAGCAGTATTTACCCTTGAACTCTTACACTCAGCAATGGGAGTCAACATCTTTACCAGTATTTATTGAAATCAATATATGTTGAGTGCCAACAGGATGCCAGGCACCTGGTAGGCACTTGTCTCAGTTATATTTTTTTATATTAAACAATCCCAGCACATAGTGGCTTAAAACAGCAATGATTTAGCACTTATCACTCCAAGAGTTGGCAGGGCTCAGCTGGGTGGTCCTTCTGCTACACACAGTGTCATCAGCAAGGGGTCAGTCACATCAAATTCAGTGAGGAGGTCAGCTAAGTTCAGAAGGTCCAAGAGGGTTTCCTTCATATGTCTGGCACCTCATCTGGGGTGACTGAAATTGTGGGCTGGCTGGGTCTCTCTCTCTCTCTCTCTATCTCTCTATTAGGGTACTTGCCCTTCTTACACTGTGGCTTTGGGCTCTAAGAGAGCAAAGAGGGGGCTTCCCTGGTGGCGCAGTGGTTGAGAGTCCACCTGCCGATGCAGGGGACAAGGGTTTGTGCCCCAGTCCGGGAAGATCTCACATGCTGCAGAGCGGCTGGGCCTGTGAGCCATGGCTGCTGAGCCTGCGTGTCCAGAGCCTGTGCTCCACAACGGGAGAGGCCACAACAGTGAGAGGCCCGCGTACCGCCAAAAAAAAAAAAAAAAAAAAAGAGAGAGCAAAGAGGAATCTGCCAGTTCTCTTAAGAGCTGGGCCCCAAACTGGCACAGTGTCTACTGATCAAAGCAGATCAATAGGCCAGTCCAAATTCAAGGAAAGAGGAAACAGACTCCACCTCTTACTAGGAGGAGAGGCAAGGGAGGATTGTTGGTGGCAACCCAACCTTTGGAGCCGGGGTACAAAGCACTACATATTGGTTAAATAAATGAAAATTATCCTGTTTCCATATACTTTCCATTATGGCCTAAATGGAGGAAATGCTGGATTTTCCCAGGGTAGAAACCACACCCTTGTCCATTTTTATCACTGCAAGCACATGAACACTTCCACACTTGCTCCTGGATAGTAACTGTTGGTGCTCTTGGGTTGATAAGACACGGTGGTTTGCTCAATGGTGAGGCATGCTGGGAAAATAAGAAGGTGCAAGGGAGCCAGGCCCAAGTGGGAACATGCTGCTTAGGCCATGGG